CATACACTCTATTAAGGCCCCGTTATCACCAGGGCGGTTCGGCTGCGCTGATCCGCCGACATGAACGATTCCATATATTGCTATGGGGACCGTTCATGCGACTGCGCAGCTCAGTGCGATCTGAACTGCCCCCCGCCCGAACTGCTCCCTGACCCTTTTTTGCCGCGCTGATATAGTGCGGTTTCCATACAGCTTTCAATGGAACCGCGCTAATTAGTGCGGTTTTTGGCATTTTTAATTGCATTTCAGCGCTGAAACGCAATTAAAAACGACCAAAATCTCTCTTTTAAAATCAGTGGTTTCTGTATCAGTGCGGAAACCGCACTGATCCGCAATTGCACTGGTGTGAATGGGGCCTAATAATGATGGGACCTGGGACTAGTGTGGGAAGAAAGAGTTAAAAAAACACACACATATAAACCAGCTCAGGACCTGGAGATAGAGGGGGGAGAGAGTTAAAATAAAATAAAAAAAACACATATACTGCATGGACCGGTAGAAGGGGACGGACAGGACGGGAGACAGAGGGGGAGGGAGAGTTAAAAAACAAACAAACACACTGCACTTTACAATCGGGAGACAGGGGGGAGAGAAATAACACTCACCTACCGAGTCCTCAGAGGAAAGATTTCATGGCTGTCAGACGTGCAGGTACAGCCACCCTGACTCCACAGTCGCACACAGCAGAGGGAAGGGGCGGGGTCCAGCTCACATGGGGTCAAAACTCGGAGCCCCATAACGCAGCAGCGGCCACTTACTGACCACTACGATTTTTCCACCCTCACCCCTTTAGCACCCTCAAGCGGCCGCTTGACTTGCCTTGCTGTAGCGCTGGGCCTGGGAGCATGAGACATCAATATTACACATGGATTGACCATCACAGAGTCCCAATTGTGAATCTTTGGGATGTACCGGAGAAGACTTTACGCTATGGTCTGACTCTCCCATCATCACTATGGAAATATGGATGGAAATAAATGTTGTGGCATTGCATATGCTTATCAAAATGATGCCATGGTGAATGTGTGCAGTAATCAAACTAAAGGGGGTCAACAAAATATCAGAATGTGCGATTTTTGGGGGTGGGCAGTCAGTAAATATATATACAGTATACTGTATATAAAAAAATCTCTGTACAACCATCTTTAGATTTACCAAAACTATGCAATGTGAGGACCTACCTAAACTATCCAATCAATTTGTAACCAATCAGGCAGCCTCTTGCTTTAGTGGCTGGTAGATCTAAAGGAGACTGTGACGTGCGTGGTGAGCTCTTGGTGGGCTGGCCATTTCACTGAAAAACAACAACTGGAAAAAATAGTAAAATCTGCTAAAGGTGACGGTGCATTGCTAATCTTTTTAATGTCATATTGTTTAAGCCCACATGTCATTTTAATCTGCCAGGCACTGCACAACGAAATGAGGAAATAATTTCATAACCTATAAAAGTGTTGTGCTAATACGTGTTTTGTCACATGGTGCTTTTTTAACATACCAGCGACATGCAGAGAAGAACTGCCTATACATATACATCCTTGCTATCTCTTATCCCATATTTAAGGCCACAATGTGACACCGCCCGCCTTTTTTCACTTGTCACATTCAAAAAGACGAGGCATGCGGGCGGTTCATTCTTTAAAACTTTCCTAGCATTCCGAAAATTTTGCCTTGTCAGAAAAGGAGCTGAAGTCATAGATCTCGGCAATGAGTCACTCCAGTGGCCGTCACAATGTGTGTGTGCTCCATCCTGCCAAGCAGTTGTATATGAATGGGCTGCCCACAGGGAAATGACGCTTCGCTTCTGATAAAAAAGGGGATTCTGCTCTTGCCTTCTTTTAGAAGTGCTAAGAGGGGAAGGAGACACATTTGCCTGAGCCAAGAATTTTAAGAACTGGGAGGAGTGCTGTATGAGCCTATGATATGACGACACTAAGGATTGGGCAGCTGCTACTGCTGTTAGCGACCTCTTCTCTGCTCTTCTCCTGTACCAAGGGGCTTACTGGTGAGTTTCAACATTGCACAACTTTCCTAAATCAAGCATTGCAAAGAAACCTAGTGTGGAAACCTGTCAAGAGAGAAATATGCAAGCTGCAACTGCTAACCTGTCTTGCTGAAAATGCTAGTTGCCTGGCTGTCATGTTACTGCTTGGTTCAAATACTTTCCGAGTCACTAATGTGGAACATGTATAGAGATAGGGAATTCCGACACTTTTATGGAATTCATGTGCTGCCCACATTCTGGTTTTGTCTCCAATTACCGAAGCCAGAAATAGCAAGACAACCAGCATTTTAAGGAGACCAGCAATGGCAGCCTCCATATTTCTCTCATGACAATCATTTTTAAATAAGGCAGCACAGAGTGCATTAACAATGCACAAAGTACAGTATCTCAAAGCAACCTGAATTCACTTGTCATCCCTTTAGAGCTCCATAAGCCATTACAATGTTATATATGTTATATCATGTATCACAGGAATATGTATTACTTGGAATGTGGGGCAGAATGTCTAATGCATAGAAATTAAATTTATACTTTATGTTTGTATGAAAAATTACAGAATGATGATACCTTGTTCAGATATCAGTTCAGATACCAGTGCTGATACTTGGCATTTTCACGCAAACCACCAGGGTTGCAGAAGTTGCAGCTGTGACTGGGCCCTGGCTCTCCACAGCTGTCCTGAAATCATTAGTTTTTAGTGTTTTAAGGAAACTGTAAAAAGAAAATTAACAAAAATGTATCAGTAATTGGTATCTGTGAGTACTTGGACAAGTATCCGTACTTGTACTTGGTCTGGTTTGTACTTGGTCTAGTCTTGGAGCTGGAACATTATCAGTATTAACCAACACTAGCAAATCATATATTAGCTTCCATTTGCTTGCCCAAACTAAGATGTTGTAACCTTATGTCTGATTGGTCACCATTAGTTTCCTCACACTATTGCCCTGTAAACTGTGGCCAAAAAAGCCACACACTGAAATATTTGGTTAACACAACTTTAGCTTTGATTATGGCACGCATTTGCTGTGGCATCATTTCGATAAGCTTATACAATGTCACAACATTTATTTCTGTCCAGAGTTGCATTGATTATTCACCAAGATCTTGTAGTGATGATGGGAGAGTCAGACCACTGTGTAAAGTCTTCTCCAGCCCATCCCAAAGATTTTCAATAGGGTTAAGGTCTAGGCTCTGTGGTGGCCAATCCATGGGTGAAAATGATGTCGCATGCTCCCTGAACCATTCTTTCACAATTTGAGCCTGATGAATCCTGGCATTGTCATCTTGGAATATACCCAATGTGCCATCAGGGAAGAAAAAATCAATTGATGGAAAAAACGGGTCATCCAGTGTATTCAGTTATGCAGCTGATCTCATTTTTGGGGGATATAATGTTGGTGAACCTAGACCTGACCAACTGAAGTAACCCCAGATCATAGCACTTATCCAATGGAAGGGTCTTAACTATTTGCTTAACTAAATCCAGCTGGTGAGTTTTTTTTTGGCTAGGCAGTATATTATCACATTAGATGCTTCATCACAGCTGTGTTCAGTCTGATGTTATGCAAAAATCAGCTACCTCTGCTATACCTAGCATATGGTCAAGATTCAAGTGGCTTGATAACAAATGATTCAATTTATAGGTCTAGTAGTAGATATACAGTATACCCCTGAGGTCTGAGGAAGAATGAAACTGAGTACATACCTGAAGACTCTATTACCCTTAGTCCACCTCTTTTAAAGTATTGGCTGACATGGGAAGTTTGAGCAAAGTATGATTCAGGCTTAGCCATTCAAGCAGGGTTTGCCTCTTGGTCTTATCTGACTGGCTACACTCTAGCACTACACTCTACACACTGGCTACACATTCTCAACCAACGTGCCTGGCTCAGGGGCGCTTCAAAATTTTGGTACAGCATCATGCCTTTCCATGGGACAGGCAGGCTTCTCATGTGAAGGGGAGCTCTGATGTAAAAAGGGGGACTATGATAGCAATGGGGGTCTCTGATGTGAAGAGGACTCCTGATGTGAAGGGGGCTTCTATTGTGAAGTGGGTTCTTGGGTTGTGATGCAAAGGGAAGCTCGTGATGTGAAGGGGAACCCCATTTTTTAATGTTTTTGAATGGGATTCTTCCTTAAAATCTATACCATCCCCTATCTAGAATAAGGGTCTGGTAAGGATTTTAGAGGAGCCACACATCATTTTTTACATTCATGTATTTTACATTTTAACCTAGTGTGCCTTGAGATTTGGCATATTTTCAAAAGGTGCCGTGACTGAGAAAAAGGTTGAGAAACGCTGATCTAGGATACTGACAAGCTTTCATGTGACCCTAGTAATCAATTTAACTGAACAAGGACTTTAGCTTTAGTTTAAATTTTATTTCAGTGCTACTCAAAGTGGACATTGCATTGATACATTAATATTGTTGCACAAGTAGCATTGTGACACTTGGTAGATGTTCCTTTGAGTATACCTGTAAAAGCCATTAGTCTATTGTTTTTTGCATTCATATATTCTCTTACGCTGACATATATTTAATTATTTATATATATTAAAGTATCCTAAAACATGCTAACACTTTATAGGTACACAATGGCAATGTTCACTTAAGTTTATATGTTATGTCAATAATAATAATATATATAACACAAAAAGCATACATATACTGTATGTAATAGTGATAACATACTTACCCATACATGTCTTTGGCACAATAAAAGAGAATACAGCAAATAAAACACTGCTGTTCATTTATGGTTATAGATCTTCTTTCCTATATGAAATCGGAAACTTTTTTAATCCATTTACATAAAATGGATCTACAGGCAAGCAGCCTTTAATTCAGAATTTATTATGGTCATTACTCACTGTGAACATAATACAGGGAGAAATGTTTTGAACCGTAGCCTCCAGATTTATGAGAACAATTTTATGACATGCTTTGAAGAAAAAAAAAAACAGATTTTTAAAGCCAAACTCTAGGTAGATATATAGGACACAAATGAATGCAGCTCTATAATCATTCATTCTTTATTAAATGTATTTATTTATTTTTTATATTCTTTGTTTAAAGTTTTTACATAATAATATAACTCAACATCTACAAATAATAAAAAAAAAAACAAAAAAAAACTTCCATCTGGATAGCTTATCCAACATTGACATTTCATCTTAATATATGCTTTTAAATAATTAAAAATATTATATAGCATACCTTCTTCTCTTCTACCAGTTTTAGGTTTTATACTTCACATTCTATTTCCTCTTTTTAATAATGATGGACTTTTCTAATACTTCTTAAAAAGAAAATACATTTTTTTTTTTAAATACAAGCAAATATAAGTAGCTGATTTTGACATGGTATCTGCCTCTTGCAATCCCTGTAGAGCAGGGCTGAAGTGTGAGAAAAGGCTAATCAGTTCATGTGTTGACAAGAAGCTTGCTGATAGGAAGAGAAAGCAGAGCAACAGAGAGATGATCTCATCACAGTTGCTTCTTCTTCTTCTGTCCAGTAACAGGCTGGTACGGGCCCAGGACTACGTGGGCTCAGGGGAAGCGGGGTGAATGATGACCTTCAGACTGAGGACATCTAGTGGCAGAAAAAAAGTACTGTGGGGAACATTCCTGGATTGAAGTGCCATATTACAGCAAAATTTGGCTAATTAAATTTGTTAATTTGTAATTTTTTATCTTGTCATTTTTTGAAGGAAATTCTGCTTTAACTTCTAAGTTTATCCCTATGTTTCGTTTAGTTTTAACCTGTAATATTAAAATTACACAAAGATGGTAACATAGGTAACAACAATAATTGTAACCCTGCCATTCAAGATAAAACAGACATAAATCTGTATAACAGAACACATTAAATACATTTAACTGAATATTGGAAACTAATATCTATATATTGTTTGATTTCTGTATTTACAAAATTAAAAAATTAGAAAAAAGTGCTTGGCATAAGTGGCATAACAAATATTTATAAAGAAATGTCTTCATGCACCAAGGCTTTGTTCACACCTAAGGCCTGGTTCACATGTAGGTGGCATCGTTTTTGCGCAATTGTACATGAGGGTTCAGCGTGCGTTTATTTGCATGTTTGGCACATTTTTACGCGTGTGAAAAGGCACGCATGTTTTGACTGGCAGCTTAAGAAACATTGTGATCAATGGACGAATGAGTGTACAAACATGCAAAAACGTGCATGAAAATGTGCAACATGCTTCTGCCGTGTGTTTCCTGGCGTTTCCATTGAAGTCTAAAACGAGCTTTAAAATGCCAAAAAGATATCATGTGCTTTTTTTTGCATTTGGCGGTTTCCTGCTGGCGTTTTGCAGCTCAGGTGTGAACAGGGTCTATTGAAAATCATGGCTTTTCTTGTGTTGTGTATTTAACCACTTGAAGACCGGGGTGTTAAACCCCCTTCCCATTCAGGCCATTTTTCAGTATTCAGCGCTGCGGTACTCTGACTGACATTTATTCCGTCATGCATTGCTGTACTGAAATACATTTTATACCATTTTTTTTTTGGCTCAAGCTTTCTTTTGGTGGTATTTAATCACCACTGGGGGTTTTATTTTTTACTATATAACAAAAAAGTACAGAAAATTTTGTTAAAAAAAACTGTTTCCCTATGAAATGCTTTAAAATTGCGGGCGCCCGCAAAATTGCATAAAACGACTGGCGAGGAGGTGGCCGTGACGGAGGTGGGGGGCCCACACCCACAGCTACTGCAAGCGATCGGGCGTCTCTAGAGAGTGATCGGGCGTCTCTTAAGTGTAAACAGCCATCGCTGGCTGTTTACATTGCTAACAGTTCCCCACTCGTGTGCGCGTTGAGCACCGTGCACAACTCCCGCTCCTACAAGACTCCTGTCTGGCCATTCAGGAACGGCCATGGACGGGAGGTGGTTAAAAGTGCTTTTTCTACTGCTCAAAAACGCCATGGTGTGAACCAGGCCTAAGCATCAACGTTTCAAGGCTTTTTTTCATGCTTTTTT